AGTTTTATATTTTTCTTTGTCTTCTTCTATTTGTCGTAGGGGTAGTAGAATTTTTCAGATATCTGGGACAGTTGTTGAATCATTCCTGTTGCACGTATTTGCAGTTGATTCGATAAACAAAGCTTTCGTTATCAATCTCTCCCTCCACCCTGTTACATTGGATTTTAAAACTGTCATCTTATCCCATCCTATTGTATGGTTGTGTGTAACTGCATGTAATGCTACCAAGGTCGAACTATTCTCTGCAATGTAAAGGGAACACTAAACACAATATTGTACTAAATGCTTAAAATTCAATACTGTACTATAAATTCTGTTTTGAATGAAGCCATTGCTATCATTCTATAGGGAGGTTGTTGAACACTAGTAGTTCTTTACCTTAAGATAGTGTTTTAGGATGAGTTGAAAGTGGTGGCCGACTCAAAAGTCTTTTGAAGTAATGAGCCTAGATTTTACTCAGCTCCACGTCCTCACTAATTGTCTTTGCTTAAATATTTTCACTGACTTCACGTGAATCGATTTCTCTTAATGCAGACCTAATCACCTGATATACTGTAAGGTCTCTCTTACCTAAAGCCTGTTCTGTTTCAGTTCTCAGTCTACCGTAAAAGCATCTTTCTCCGTACTTTTCTTCACTTCTCTTTTCTCCTATCCTTGTTCACCTCTGCATACATTCGTCTTCTGCCTCGTTGCCCCCCTCTTGTATCAGCTCCCATGTATCCATAGTGAGGCATTCATTTTCCTAATTCTTCTCCCTGCCTAGGACGTTTCCTTACACATCACTTTCACACAGGTCTCTTCAGTGAGTTTGCTTAATATCTCCAACCTTTCTCTTAATGACTGCAGTGCAAATGTGATTTGTAGCTTCGTTGTTTTTGATTTTTTAATGTGGAACTTGAATTATGGTCCACCGTAGGCTTGTTTGATTGGTTTCATTGTGATCGCAGGCATATACTCCTCTTTTAGATCTTGTCTGCGGTAGGCTGCGTCTCCACTTTCTTCTGACTGAGATGAAGTCTATTCAAGTTTCAGTTTGATTATTTGGTTAAACTCACGTAGCCACATGGATATCGTAGTAATTCTACATATCTCCCGTCTACAATCACAAAATAAGTAAAGGTGGAGGAGTCTTCAAAATTCTCTTGATCGTTATTCATTTAACCCAGCGAGGATCTCTCGACCAATGATGAGTTCTCTTCCCGTGTTTCCTGCCCTCAGTTTGACTTGCAATTATATCACCCAACAGAACTTGAATTGACCCTCTGACGAGGTTCATATTCATTACTGCTTGCAATAAATTGTCTCTAAACGTCCTCCTTCTCCTCCATAAAGTCTCTCTGTACTTTGTCCAACTGTTTGTTGGTTCACACTATGATATGAACCAGATAACAGGCAACTCTAGCCATAACAAAGGAAAGTCTCATTAATGATGTCTGCTGCATTATAAAGGCCCCCATAGGAAGTGTCAGTAAAGTGCTTCGCGTATCTCCCCATATGCAAGTTCACAAAGCATATTCCATGTAGGCTTGTCTGGGAACACCGTGCTATCGAAACCAGACAAAGTTAGTGTCTAATAGACACTGTAGCTGGGGACTTGAACGCAAACTTGACATATAAGCTGAGATGACAGTGGTTTAAGTGTTCAATAAGGTCTACGCGGTGACAGCTTAGATGACGGGGATTACCTTACACAGCTTTGCGCAGACCATATCCTGTTTCTAACCAACACTAACAACCGGTTCACACAACTTCGTAGTGCTCTCCGGTGTCTTTCCTCTACCACTGAGGCCTAGAATTAATTGGATCATAATAGTATCAGCTTCTAATGGTGTGGGTGCACACAATACCTCTCTTGTCTTGATTCTGACTATGCTCTAGGGTTTGCCAGATTTACATTGCGGTTTTATGGTGATTATAAACATTTTTTTCAGCAAGCTGAATTGAGTAGACTTGTAGCGCCTGGTGTCGATCTAAGCTTAAGGCTGACCTCTAGGTAGGAAATACACTGATGGCACTCAATAAACTAAGGCCGCTTTCAGGTAAAAAGAACGTCTTGCTAAAAAGTAGTGGGCTCCTGAGTGACCCTTACAACTTCTTCACGCCTTTCGGCTCTTCTCAGTGGATATTTAGTATAGTAGCCTACGTAAATTGCTTATGAATAAGACCAAGTAGTGCTTACCGAAGGACGGTGAAGCTTGGTGGTCAGCACGTAAGAGTCATATGGAACTGGCTGTATTTAGCAGTAGCTGGAAGCTGTTACACCTCATCCGAACCACCCCTAAGTTAAACGAGCATAGTATCAGCAGAAGCAGAGGATACGCAGATTAACGATCTAGAAAGATGCTTGAAACTCTAAGCAGATCACTCGGAGATACGCTTTGGCAGGGCTACAATGCCAGCATCCAACATCACTAATCCTGCTGCTTCGCTGTCTGTTTAGAGAAGCAGGGATTCAAAAGGAACTCAAAGTACGCAAGAAACAAAAGGTGGCTAGCCCACACAAATTACGCCGGCTCTTTTGAAATGTGGTAATGACACTCTAGTCAAGGAACTGATGAGCTACTCAGGAAAGTATGAGAAGATGGGTATGCTCCACCACTATGAACTGAAGCTGTTACCATGCTTATTCTTAGAAAAAGCATAGGTAACATAGGTGGAAACCGTCACAGTATCTGTTTGCTGCCACTTGTATCTGAGGTACTGACTGCTATAATTAGCGAGGAATAGGCCGGTTCCGTAGGCACTGACTGATCATGTGCTCATCCTTACTCAGTTTGTAGAATACCGTCGGGTGAGTTGCAAACCAAAAATCGTCGTATTTGTTGATATTACGACTGAGCTGAACTGAATTCCTATCTGGAAATGTCTGTAAGAGACGAACGTCTTCCTGAGAATTTCGTTAATATATTGAAAGCTGTATACAGAAACACTCTGGGCATACAACCAGCCGTAGCTATTGATCTGAACCAACAGCAAGGTTATACAAGGTTCCCCAACCGCAGCACTTGCTTTAAACTTTGCCATTGATGATGTTCTGGAGATAGCCTTGAAGGATGTGTGTTTTGGTGTATATCTGCTGTCTGGAGAAAGCTTGTTTACCCTCGATTTTTTTTGATGATATCGTCTTACTGTGTCAAAACAAGCCGGCTGTCCAGATCACACCCAGTTAGTTGGGGCTGTAAGTGTGATATGCTCTTTGTGCTGCGTAGGTACAACGTATTGTTGCTAGATTGATAGGAACCTGTACTTGCACTCACACACTCAGGTAAACTGCGAGAAGCAGTCGATAGGTTCGTATATGTGAGTATTTGTTTGAGTGATGGTAAAAATGTGGTACATGAAATTTCAGACTGACTGAGTGAGTTTGAGGATACAACTTTGCACAGAAGTGCAATAGTTCAAGTTACCGCACTCTATGTAACACAAAAAGACAGACAAAAGAAAAGAGAACTATGAGGGGCAGAAATGTACAAAAGAAAAAAATCAGTAGTGTGGAAAGAAATAGGGACTGAATGGATCTCAGAGATTACAAAAAATGGATTTATCTGCTCCACCGAAAACGATTTCAAGTCATATCACCAGCAGGTTCAAGCCACTGGTTTTCAGCATCCCTAAATCCCCAAACAGACAGTGTATATCTTCCTTTGTGACTCAAACTAACCATCAAACACTTCATGGATTGATACTGCGTTTAAGTTTAACCACCCATGAATCTTTATTGACCTAATCCTATGTCAGCTAACATTGCTTGACGATGACGGCGGTAACATGTATCCTAGCCGCCTCAAAGGATGCAGCTTCATCGACTGGCTTTCCCTTCTTACCTAACATTATACCTAACCCTGGTATTATTCACCAAATTACAACATTCAAAACAGGAAATGGAACACAGACATCTATGGACATAAACAGCTAGTCTGTTCATATATTACACTTTCAACTGCCGTGTCTCACAGTCACAAATAAGAAAGCTAACTGCTGAGCAGAACATACGTCTTTTAGTCGATGGCCAGATATCAAGTTTACGCTAAAAATGAGTAAGTTGACAGATGCCAGGCAATTCACTTTTGTCAGTGCTGAGAATTAATCCGACATGACCCTATTGTGGGTTAACTCGACTTCTAAAATAATTGAAGTAGTCAACACGCTCAACCATTTCACTACCTACCTTTGGACTACAGATATTCCTGTAGCATTATCTCAGATTTCACATGGGTGAATTTCATGCCAAACATACTAAAATTTCTGTTGAAGGCATTCAGAAGTCTGGATTTTGTCAGGGACTTCGCCTAAAAGAACAATAAGATTTCTAACTGTGAAGGTAAGTTCAGGTGGCATACATCAACATGAGACATATCTGATGCTGTTGCTACGTCATCTGGACAGTCGAATGCCAGCTTTGCAATACTTCAGTGAATGCAGCCTTGCTTTACGCCTGAGAAAGCTGACATTTTCAGGCTGAGAATGTACTAGAGGACCACTGACTTCGTTGAAAAATGTGGGTCAGCACGTGACATGATGCAGTGAAATAAGTGGTGACTGTGTTAAATCAACATCGATCAGTGCATCACGACTCCTTGAGTGAGTTCTAAGGGATAATCTAAATCGGAGACTAAAGCCATCACCAGATATGCCTAGGAATCGTAATCAGTAGCGAACATTTTGCAGTTTCCCGCTTCCGCCTATTTCTGAAAGTAACATGAACTGGCGAATACCATCTTAAACGCTCTTAATTAGTATGCTTAACTGTTTTGCTTCTTTTACTCAATTATTTTGCTTCTTTTTCAGTGTTTTTTGTATGACCCATCTTATGGTACCCATACTGTACGAAGTTTGTATTTCAGTAATAATAATAAGTTTCATCAATGTCATATTTCTCAATTAGTGCACCGTATGATTAGTATGACACCGTACACGATAGAGTAACGTCTTTTGTTATACGATATATTTTCTCCTAAGTATTTCTTGTATTCTTGACCTCTGTTTTTTTTCCATTTCAGTTTGTCATTTAGTGAATCCGTCTTTCGTACAGAATCTGGTCATGGAAACGTTCACAGTTTACCTAGACGATTTCTATGTCAAGCTTTGCAGATAAAGCCTACTGTCAATATTAAATCTCTTACAACACAGAATCCAAGTAGTGAATCGAATGCCACCAAATCGCCTAATGAATTAATTGAACAACCAATTCCACTACTTTACTACATTGTACATTACCTCATGGTAAATGGTTTAGACAAGACGCATAATCATAAATCAGATTACAATGCTATATCCCAAGAAAGCAGATCAATCAATTCTCGATTAATGAATAATTACAGTACTACTGCTAGTAATAATGACTTAGGGAAAATGACTAGTACTGCCCCATTATCATTTAATCAGAATTTCTCTTCTTCTTCTTCTTCTCCTCCTCCTCTTACTGCTCATCATCATTATCATCCAGTTTCTTCTCAGGAAAAACACATCCATTTTGACCCTGAACATGTATCGATTTATGAAGATCCATGTGTAAATCATGCATCAAATTGTACAAATTCTGAATCTGATTTGTATTAAATCTTAATTTGCATAAATTGTGTATATTCATTCTGAAATTAGCGTAAACTCTGAAAAGATGTAGGATCTCATGAACCCTTCAGGCAGCAACTGGGCATTGTTTGAGATGGTTCTCCCAAATACTAAATGTGTATCTGGTTGCCTTAGAAGTGATGTCAATTGATGCTTCATGTGACCGTAAAGCATGAAGAGAGTGTATTTGTCATCTATGACAGTGACTGATGGAGTCTCAATACAGTTATAGAAAAGTGGCTTAGCTTTTTCCGAAATGCGTTACTTGAAACGCAGCCAAAGTATTTATTTTCCAACTACATATACAGTGTAATGAAAAGTAGTTTGATAAATATGATTACTAGAAGGCAGAGTCTTCATATATTTGATTATTATTATCTGTATTGTATTGTCCACCTTTCGGTGCAATCATTACTCGAGAAAAGGCATAGTGTTCTGAGGGATCATAAATTCCCAGTGCCTCATATATTCAGAATACCTGTCTACTAGTTGTCTGATTCAACGTCAAATTCTGGCGGAATTATAATTAATTCTGTAGAAGGTGAAGTCTAGTCAATTTAAAACATGACATCAATACCTGGAGTAACCCACTGTTGATCCAATAACTACTGCATTAGGTATAGTAAACATTGCATATTAAAGCTTCAACCCAGGTTTATTCTTGAGTTTGATAACAAAAACAGTTGTGAAGACATAAGGAATACGTATTCCGTCCAATTATTATTTTCAGCTTTAACTCTATTATTACCAGTCTCAGGAATGTGAAGTACATCTACTTTGAAGCTCATATCAACACATAATGGGACATTATCCTATTGGCGGTGGGATAAGAAAAAGAAAAGCAAATGCAGTATGACAGACTGTCAAATGAATTGAGTGCCTTCATACCTTCAACTAAGGAGAAATTCTTTAGAAAGGTGAACAAGGGGTTACCGACCAAAGTGCGATATCATATAACTGTAGTATTTTATTTATTATTATTCCCAAGTGGAACATAGAGCTTCAACAACACACCTCCACTTCCTTCTATCTTCTGCTGTCCTCTTGATCGGGATCCACGATTACCCATAGTCTCTCATCTCCTCTGTGTCTCCCTCAGACGACCCACTTGCCGTTTCCCATTGGGGTTCTACTCGAGCACTAGTCTTGTGCACGATGTCATTCGACGGCCTCCCCAATATATGCCCGATCCATCTGCATTTTCTCCTACATATTTGTTGAGCAATCGGCTTTTACTTTGTTAGTTCCCAGAGTTTGTTGTTGGTGATTCTTTCTGGTCTGCTATTTGTTCTTTAGTATGGAGACGGCGAAGGCAGTTATTCATAAAAGTTTCAAATAGCCTGTTGTGATACGCAGTGCAAGTTTCTGACTCCAATAGAAGAACCGACTGACTTCACATTCGTGTTGAAAATCCGAATCTTATTGTTAATGCCGAAGTGGAGTGAAGATTTCCAAACTGGTGTCAGGTTGATGAAAGAGTACCTGGCTTTTTCGATTCTGGCTGGCTTTGACATCTTCATCCTTTCCGACTGCCTGTAGTTGAAACGATGTTGGCTTCTTAGGTAAGTGAAAGAAGTGACCTCCTTCAAGTTCCTCTCGTCGATGCTGGTTGGTGCTGGGTTTTTGTTGCTGCTCGTTGGTTATCTTCATCACCTCCATCTTCTCTATGTTCGCCTGGAGTCTTTTCTTCGCTGCCAGTTTGTCTTCGACTTTGTGTGACATTAAACATAAATCATCTACGAAATCCAGATCTTCTAGAGCCTTCTTATCGGTGGTCCAGCGTATTCCTGTTTTCTCACTCCCTGTGCACAGTCTGACGAACAATCGAGACCACCACAATTAAGTATGCCATCGTGGATGATAATAGGCAAACAGCCTTGTCTTACCCCTTTATTCACTTAGTTATCCCTTGTGGATTACCTGAGACTTGGCATTGTCATATAGCCAGTCGTTGAATGAGGTTGATAAAGGCACGCTAGAATACTGATTTAATTTCCAAATTATTTCCGGGTCAACGCTGTCGAAGGTCTTTTCGAAGTTAATGAAATTAGAGGACAAGTTTGACTACCATTTTATGCTTTGTTCTATGATGACGATGCGTAGAGTTGCAGTCTGATCAGCACATGATTTCTCTTTCTTGAACCCAGCTTCTTCAGGGCTGGCGAATTTCTGTATCCAGTTTATCCTTTATTCTCTCCAGGATGATGCAATTTAGTATTTTGCTTCAAAAAAACAAGGGCGTGATTCCGCGGCAGTTCTCACAGTTGACTAAGTCGCCCTTCTTTGGCAGCTTGACAAGGTGGCCAGGCTTTCTTCCAATCGGTAGGCACCTTTTCTTCCAAACCTTTTGCAGCAATAACGTTAGAACATCTACCGCAGTCTGCTGGTCCGTTTTCAGTGCTTCGGAAGGAATTCCGTCTGTTCCTGCTACCTTCCTGGTCGAACTACAGTAGCTTGATTATTATTATTATTATTATTATTGTATCCTTTAGTTCCTAGAGGAACATAGGGCTTCAGCTGCGCACCTCCATTGACTTCGGTTTTCTGACAACTTTTTCACCCTGCTCCAGGTCTGTCCACATGCTTGATTACACTTAGGATTTCTGCTTTCGTTGGAGGATTGATGTCCGATGGCAGTTATGTGTGTGGTGGTGGTATTCCTGGGCGAGTTGCAGGTGATGATCGATTGAAGAGTCCCTTGAAGTGATCAGTCCATTGTTTTATCTGTTTCTTCTCCTTGTCAATCAGGTTCCCTTGAGCATCTTTTATTGATTTCATCATCTGGGTTGATGTTTTCCTGGACCTGGTTATCTCATATAGTGTTCTAAGGTCTCTTTTACCTTCGCCTCACCTCTTCTACTTCAGTTGCAGGTCAGCGTGTCGTAAAATTCTCTTTTGTCTTTCCTAGCACTCTTTTTCAATTCTTTATTCTGTGTAGCGTACATTGAACTCGGCTTCTCCTTCTGCTATCCATCTTTCACCATCCTCCTCTCCTCTCTTTTATTAGCTTCCAGGTAGGTATCCGTTGGGAGCCATTACTTGTCTTGTCTCTTCTTTCTTCCTAGGATAGTAGCACACGCTTCTCTAAATATCGCCTTCAGAGAGTTCTAATGTTCTTCTAAGCAGGTTTCCTCAGTGATGCTACGTAGTGTCTCCGACTTTGCTCTGATTTGATGTGAAGTGAAGGTATTCCTGGTAGTTTTGCCCTTCAGTTCCTGAATGTTGAACTTGCATTGTGGCCTGTTTCTGGTTTTTTGAAGGGTCTCAGCTTCACCTTGAAGGTTCTTTGAACTAGATGATGGTCTGAGCCCACATCTGCTCCACCTCTCGACTTTGTGTCCAGCAGGTTAGCTTCGTCTCCACTTCTTTAACCAACATTGAGATGAGATCTATTTGGTTTGTGGTTTGTCCCTCAGGCAAAACCCATGTTGCTGGCCTTGTGTATGTCCTTGTGCTTGTACATGTTGCCTCAGATCACCGAATCATTGAAGGCACAGAAGCCTACGAAGAGTTCAAGTGAACTGTCGTCAAGATTTGACAGATTGCCGAACGAAACGTTGGAATTACTCATTTCAATCTCGCTGAGATTTTACAAATATAATTTTTTACAAATGCCTACGAAGAGTTCTCCGTTATCATTCAATTCGCTGGGCGAGAGCCTCTCGACACATGATGAATGCTGTTTCTGCATTATCTGCTCCCAGCTCAGCTGTCATTCATATGGTCCATGAGGATTCTGATGTCACCATTTGAGATGTTGTCTATAGAAATCTCCCTTCTCTTATTCTGGATTGTTTGTAGGTGCGCAGTACTGGATAATTGTAACCTTCCTTCCTGCCTTTTGAGCTGAATGTTGCTGTCATGATCCTGCATGAGATGTCTGGTTCTCACTGCATTAGGGCTTTGGCTGCCACTGGTGGCATCATTATAACCACTCCATCCGTACATTCCACTTCCCCACTATAATTCTTGCTTTCATTAACAGAAGACAAATGAACTGACTGGCTTCCTGACGACTTTCAACAACCCATTGTGACATTTCGCCTCTCCGACTCCAGAGAAGAATTATTTTTTGGTATTTTTGCTATTTTGCTTGTGCTTTGAAGTTTCTGTAACAGTTTGATAGGTCTAGTGGTGTAGGGTCGCTAGCCACACGCCTAACTCCCCGTCTACCCGGGCTCGGGACTGGCTAGAAAACTGTCAAGCTAGTAAACTAGGCGAGCTTGTCATATAACTGCAGTCAATTTATTTCAAAAAATTACCATTATCCGCATACCACCGAAACTCCTCTGACTTCTATATATATATATATATATATATATATATATATATATATATATATAACCTTCATAAAATTCTGCGACTACTGCCGCCTTATTCTTTATGACATGGTTTTAAAGGCACTGTCAACGCTGTATGTTGTGTCGACCATTCAGAGGTATCAGCGCTTTTTATGTTGAGTGAGATAGCAGAATAATGTAGTACAACCGTTTCATATTTGTACATTTATATGAGGCGAATATTAATAACTATCTATACATGCGCTTAATTTAAAATATGTAAAAGACTACTTTGGAGAATCAATGAGCGAACAGAAACATCGGAGTGCACTGCCAACTGGTATTAGATGGGTGGAAACAATTGGTGAGAAGCTCTGCAACTAGGTTTCGTGCTGATTGTACTTCCGAGAAACTTATATTTTCTTGGAGGTTTGAACTCAGATTACCCTGCTCTGATTCAATCACGTTTTCACTGGAGAATATCTATAGCTTGAGATGAGAACTATAGAAATGTTTCAATTTTTCAAAACCGCTCATCTTGAATTCAGACATCGTTCATTGTGTAATCAGAGTGAAATCCAGTTGCCAGCTTCTCAAACGGTATTGTATCCAGACCGTGACTTCACGCAAGAGAAATTTTTGAACTCTCTGGAGAAATTCTCTTATTTTTACTGTGCCTAGAGGGAAATTAGACTTGTTATACCATAACCTCTCTCCACCTCTGCTCACAATGTCTATTCATATGAATAATTCGGTATTAGCCACACTGATCGCTAGCAAGTTTCTATTATATGCAGGGGACAGTAACTACCTATAAGTGAGGAA